GGTCTGGTTCATGGCCAGGTGTGAAAACCATTATTGCAACACTCCACCCCATACATAGATCTCATATGCTGACTATCGGCTCCATATACAGCATATACTCATGATTATTGCCCCTATATCTATAATATACTGACTATTCGCCCCATATAATACTTTCATTTTATATAGCGTCATTCATTCTAATAGCATCCCATAACGCCTCATATCTACAGCCCGTTCAAGTCTATGGGGGTGGGGGGGGGGGGTGGGGGGTATCTGTCTGTGCAATTGTGCAGTCACTGCGTGCCCGTGCGCTGCGTCGATCTGCGGAACCAATTTCCTGATCGAGAACGGGGTCCCCTGCTTACGCGGTTCACGTCGGGGAAGTTCACCAGCATTGCATGAGGCGAGCCTGACTCCAGTGATGAGACACTGCAACGTCGAAACCGGCGCATTCATCCGATGCCGCCGATGACATGAATAATATGAACTCGCAGGAATGGCGTGTGGCGGATGGTTTGTGTTATAAAAACGACGATTCGGTTTTGTTTACGTGTGGAGAGAGACGCGTTGAGAAGGAGGCGTCATTTATGGCGTAACACCACGCACACGTGTGTGTGTGTGTGCTCTATGCACTGCTCACAGGTACGGTAATTAGACACGCATGTCGTTCACGCTGCATACGCTACCGAGCATAAGCCTGTGGTGTGAACTCATAAGTAGCCTAACGACTGCCGGTAATGACAGGCGCGTCACCTGCCAGGGCGCTGCAAGGCGCACCGTGCTCTCTGCTGGCATTTCACTTCCACGCGCTGTAAGCGACCGAACCCGGCCACCCGAGTTCGATTCCAGGCCGTCACCGCCACCACCAGCGCCAGCACCGACATCGGTGGCGAGGAATATTTGAACGTGATCGTGAGCAGCCCAACCCTCCCTGTCTACATTTCACCGAACGGTTTTGACCAGCGTGGGGAGGAATGGCCAAACAACCCCGCAGTGAGTTTAGACTACAGTATTATTACGACGGTATAATTGTGGACGCACAAGCCTGCTTTACTCATATGTTAACTTATGCGTGCGCGCTGGGTATCGAATACGCGTACGGGATCGAGGAGTGCCCCGTTACCCAAACAGGAGTTCGAAATATTATATTCTTGGTTCTTTCGGTAAAGTCACATGAGTCTCAACGAGTCTTAACGAGTTTTCACGCGTCTCAACGAGTATCCCTGAGTCTCAATGAGTCTTCACGAGTCCGGTGACCACGAAAGGCGAAGAGCTAAGGGTGATGGGGGGCACTGTCAGGGGCAGATTTTCAGAGGTCGCGCCTATCTCCAGGTGCATCAGCTGTGGGAATCTGGCGTCGCAATGCGATGTTTACGTGTCGCTCGAAAACTGCATACATGAATTGATAATTGTTGAAAAGATGCACGAAATAGCCGCGTGCGGATGATAACTCACGACTGATTTTGACACTAAAGTCAGCGTAGACTCGACGTGCCGCGGTATGGCCGAGGATGCACGTGGAGTGGTGGCGCAGTCCTTAGCGCACAGGGGCTACGAACCCGGCCACCAAGAACATCGATTGCCGGCGACGACTCAGCCGTGTCGAGTGACATCTGAACCGGTCGTGGCTTCTCTCTGCACCAGCCCGCATTGACTAGCGTGGTGAAGTATGGTCGAACAACCCAAACAACAACAACAACACAAACAGCCAAGTCGAGCCGTCCTACGACGATAAACCGATCGCGTTTTTCATCTTCAAAACACGTGCGCATAGCCTGCAGTGCGCCGCCTTTCGTCAATGGACTGCTGGGTAAAACAAACACAAAAACACCTCCTCCCCACGTCTTGTCGTACATGGACGGTTGTGTGACCATACTTCGCCACGATGATCATTAAGGGTCGAGTCCAGGGGTGGGTTCAGACATCACTCGCCACCGCCGTCACCCTTGGCCTGGGGGGGGGGGGGGGGGGGGGAACTGAACCCGGGGAGCAATTTCATAGCCCGGCGTCTCGCAGCGCAAAGCGCAGGGCGCTAACCACCGCGCCCGCCGCTCCCTCCAAGTAATCAGTTGTTTCCCTTAAGTAGGAGCCGCATTAAAAATGTGTCGCCCGCTGCGCGATCGGGGGGGGGGGGGGGGACGGGACGGGGGGTGGAAAGTTTCCAATCATTGCCCGAGTGCAGAGTCGCGCGCCAGGCGACGCCGGTCTAAGCCACGCAAGGCGAGTGCGCCTAGTTTGGCTGGCGCGGCTGCCAGGTGTGAATTAAACACGTTAAAATCGCATTAACACGTGGCCGATAAATCAAATTAAGGAAGGCTCGCCCCGACTGAGAAGTCGTTTATTAGCCTCCAGAGCCACGTGCGTACAGACGCCGCGAGTTAGAACACTGGGCGCGCTCGCGATGTGAACACGTGCGCGCAATGGCTACCAATGCAGTGCAGCGTCGCACATTCGACCGTCACATATCCGCCCCGACCTGATATATATTCTGTGTCTCGGTCACACAGCGAGTCCGATATAATCACGTGTCCTGGGCAAACCCGAAACGTCGAGCTTGGCTGATGCGCCAGGACTGGTGGTGTTGCTTTGAGCTCTGATCCGGAGCTTGCAATCATATCTTTAAAACTACCACACGTCTACCTGCATATCTGGCAGCTATAGGTGTAGGTATTACATACCTCAAAACCTGCCATATCCCGCGCTCATACAAACTTGCGACCGTTCGTTGCAGGAAGTCGCTATTGCTCTGTAAGAAGGGGACGTTCTTTGGATGACCTTGTCCTCGCCATAGCAATGTGGAACTGTCACCACCGCTCCCAAAGAGAGATGAATGAAGATCGGTCAAGGTACGATTGAGCACGAAGACATACGACACTTGAACGGCGCGTTTGTTAATGGCGTTGTTCACCCCAAAAACAAACATCCCCCGTATAGCCTAAACAGACTGTTGGGGCAAGTGCTGTTAGCGAGCACCTATGAAGGTCCAGCACGGCACACGAGGGGGTGGGTAACCAACACCACGCCCGGACGCCTTTGTCTCCCCAGTGGCGATGTTTACACACCGCACCAAGTACTCATTTGAGGCTGAGTCGACCTCGGGGAGACCCAGGACCGGTTAAGGTAATCGTCACTGGTGTCGGCCGTGAGCGGGAATCGAACTCGGGTCGCCGGGTTCGAATCGCAGCGTAGCGCTAACCGCTACACCACCGCTCCCCACTTGTTTCATTTGGTAATGGGATTGTTCACCCCACATACATACACCACACACACACTGCCGACACGTGGTGTGGAGTTGTGCTGCTGGTGATATTTTCACGCGTCTTGGTCAATCCATTGCTGGATGAATCATCATAATAATGGTCATTTAATGGTCATTTGTAAGACGCATTTCATCCGTGGATCGCAAAGCGCCGTGTATGGACAGCATGAAATTAACAGAACCATGCAGGGCAAACGGCAAGAACTTGGGGATAAATGCCATTTAAAGAGGTAATTTTTTTTAAAAGGCAGAATTAAATAGCTCTAACAATCCAGGCTGTCGTATTATCAAAGGCAAAGCGTTGTTCCATGGACTGGGAGCTTCACAGTGGAAAAAGCCCGCCCCTCCGATTAGCCGGCTACGAACGGTGCGAAAGAAGTTCAACATACGTACAGCCAGATCACCCCAGAAAATGAAACCTTGCCCTCGGAGTATTCAGAAGAAGGCCAATCTCAACATTTCAGGAACTTCGTCGAAGGGGATAAGGGGATCCCCACGTCGTGTCACGTTCGGGGCTGTTCATCCATACTTCACCACGATGGTCCGTGCAGCTTTAGCAAATTGGGGGGGGGGGGGTACAGTGGGGGGGGGGGGGGGGGGGGGGGGGGGGGTTGGAGCGCCCAGGGCCGGTTCAACTTTCAAACGCCACTGATGTTCGTCGTGGGCACCGCGATTGAACCCGGCACGCTGGCACCAGAGCGCAGTGCGCTCACAACCACCGCACCACCGCTGCCGTCTTCCGTCGTAAACGAAATAAAGGGACGGAATGCAACACACACATCCTGTAGAAATGTTCCCTTTGTTTGTACATCTTTATGTGCACATATATACACATACGTGTAAACAGATTGCCATATATATGTGCGTTATCGATGCGTGTGTAGATGTCGGGAGCGTTGCATGGTCATCGTTGGCTACACTTTAGGGGAGGACAGACGAGGGGAGGTGAGGAATATGTTTTAGAAGAGTGTGGAGGGTGGGGTTTACAACACACGCGTATCACTTAGACAAAGATCCCCCGTGTAGCCTTACGAGACTGTTGGGGCAAGTGCGAGTATACAGCGAAGGCCGGAACGGCGCACGTGGCGGGGGGGGGGGGGGGTTACCGGAACCACCTTTGTCTCCCCGCTGCCGATGTTCACACACTGCAAAGGCGTAACTTATTATGTTACGGCCGAGTCGAGCTATGGGAGGGATATAACAAGTTCAGGCATAGCAACAGCAACAGCTGTGATTCGCCGCTATGTGACGGCGACGTCACCGCACAGCTTCTTGTGCCAGGCTTGGTGCACTTTGAGGCCGCGTTTGTTTGGCGCGTGTGGGGTGGGGCGGGTAGGCTGTAGTGGTAAGCTCATTGCGCTACGCACCCGGCGGCCCGAGTTAGATTCTCGGCCACGGCCATCAAACGACAGCGATTATAATCTGAACCGAGGCTGTGGCCCTAACGGCCTAGGAGGTGTGTTCGCCAATAGTAACTTGCCCCCAACAAATCCACGAAGGCTACACGGGGGACCTTTGCGCGCGCGTGTGTATATCTCTCAACTGTCTCCTATAACCTCCCCCACACAGCTTCGCCACCGCAAACCCCCCCCCCCCCCCACACACGCTTCAATTTGCACGGCCAATCACTTTTAGAGGTAAAGTCGTCCGCTCCTCCCGCTTCTCCCTAAGGCTATGTATGCATGACGCCCAAGAGATGCGAGTTGTGTGTGTGCGCGCGTGTGTGTGCGCGCGTATGTGTGGGGAGGAGTTGGGTGGGGTAGGGGAGATGGGAGGGAGAGAGGGAGGAGGAGAAGAGGGGAGGGGAATAGTCGAGTTGGGGAAGTGGAGCCAGTGATCGAAAGCACGCGTCCAACAACCAACGCAGATTGCGAGCTGCTTCAACTTAGCGCGCTTGCCGGCACCCCCCCTCCTCCCCGCTCCGGCATCACTCCGCAAGCGCTGTTCAACGACTGTGGTATAAATACATCAACGACAACAACAACAGCAGCGGCAACAACAACAACAACACGCGCACGGGCGGCGATCGTGCAGCGTTCAAGAGGGAGGAACGCACGAACGAACGCACATTTGAGCGGCCTCGTTTGAAGAAGGGAGCGAGGAGGGGAAGGGAGCGAATCGCGGCCAAGTAAGTCGGGCACGAGTTTCACTCCCACCGGCTTCCTCCGTGCGATGGTCGCGGACGGAGTGAGAGAACATCACAACGAACGCCGGCCCGAATTGCGTTACTCTCTTTAAGTCGTATACGGAGAGTTTATATTTCTTTATGTATATATAAAAATAAGAGGGGGGGGGGGGGGCGGAGGGTGGTGGTTTTGGCACGGCCCTTACCGGCAACAAATGACGAAAGGCTCCAAGCGGCATGTGTCGTTGTTGTTAGTGTTGTGTTTTGTGCAGGCACTATCAGCTAACTCGTTAGTACAAATGCGGACGATCCATTTGATTGCCATCGAAAGCACCGCGGCCGCCGCATTTCTCTTGCTTTCGTGATGGAAAGCGCAGCCGACACCAATCGAATGCGTCGTGATTTACATCGCTTGACTAAGACAGGCGACGTGTGTGGTGTATTTTCTCACTCTCTCTCTCTGTCTCCCTCCCTGTTTCCGTGGCAGTCACCTGTTTGGAATTGTCCAGCTGTGTCGGTGTGGTGGCGGTGGTGTTGGCGGCGGCGGTGCTGACCGGCCACACCGTTGCGTGAAACAAAAGAGATCGCTTCCTTCCCTTCCTAGTCCACGACCAAGCAAGTTCACACGTCTCGTGGCCGGGGGCCCCGGCGAAAGATACAATGGCACGAGTCGATCTGTCTTCGTGAAGTGAGCGAACGAGCGAGCGAGCGAGTGAATGAATAGCGTGGCTATCGAGCGCGCTGTCAAACTCGCCGGCGGGAGAAACGAAGCGGGCACAAACAAAATCCAACAACGCCACATCGGTGTTGTCTCGTAGTTAAAGGGAGAAGTGGTGTGTGTGTGTGGGGGGGGGGGTGGGAGGGTGGGGTGGGTGCGAGAGATAGCAAAAAAAAAACAGACACGGATGCGCGCTCCCCCTCTACGTGCGGCGAGTGCGAAGTCAAAGCCGGCTGCGTTCCCAGCTTCACGGACTGACGGACGGCGTGGAGCCAATAGCCTCACGGTGACCTGCTCATCATAAGTGGGGTGGGGAGGAGGGGGTGTGTGGAGGAGCAACGAATATTGAGAGAGAGAGAGAAAGCGAAACGACGGAGCGACGAGAAGATCTACAAATCGCTAAGGACAAGCACGCGAATACAGAGAGAGAGAGGGACACACAGAGATATACACACAGAGATACACACAGAGAGAGAGAGAGACACACACAGAGAGAGACGCACGCACACACACATAGAGAGACACGAATACCGCTCACCGTCGTTTAAAGACGCGGATTCAATCGCAGCGCGCTCGCACCTGGCGCGCACCAGATTCTTCCTCGCTCTTTTATCTCCGACGGCTGGCGACGACGGAAAAAAACTACCAAAATCCGCGCGTCCGCGAGTCGAGGAGGGAGTACGATGTTCCAGCCACCCACCAAACGCTGCTTCACCATCGAATCTCTGGTGGCTAAGGATGGTGGCGACTCCGTATCTGCGGCCGCAACTTTGCAACAACAACAACAGCAGCAGCAACAGCAACAACAACAACAACAGCAACAGCCTGCTTACCCGATACCCGGAGGTGCGAATCCGTTGACTTGCGGTGCCCAGCCACCGCATCCCTTCGCGGCAGCGGCAGCGGCGGCTGCGGCCGCGGCTGCGAGCCGGGCGGGGATGCACCCGGAGTTGTTCTTCCACGACGCCCATCACCTGCAGCCGCTGCTCGCCGTGCCCGCCATGCACCCGTCCGGCCACCACCACCACCACCACCACTTGTCCCACCCGCCTCCGTCGCTGCCCCTGTTCGGAGGTCCGCAGGGAAGGGATGCCATCAGCCTTTACCCGTGGCTCTTGCATCGGCCGCGGTATCTTGGGCACAGATACCCAGGTATGTGTGTTTAGACCGTGCGTGTGGTTTGCGTTAGCGAGTACCTATTGAAGCGCTTGCCTACCAACAGTCTGTGGATGATGTATGCACGGGACACCGCTGTCTCTGTGTGCTCAATAGATGAATGAGCCACCGGTTCGACGGGTGATACTGGACCGGTTCTGCGCCTTCACGAGGTGGACCCGGTCTTAAATATGAGCACACCTAGGCCTCGCTGGCCTCAATAGGCGCTCGCTAACAACGCGCGATCCAACGGTGTTGGAAGTTGTGGGGGCGAAGCGACGCCTAAGTCAGACGGGGTCGGGTAGACGATCAGAGTGGATCTCTGCAGCAAGATTGCGTGCAACGCACGTAAACACACACACATACAATAATGTGTGTACACATACATGATTGTTGCACGTGTGTGTGTGTGGATATGTGGTGGCGTGGTGGTTAGTGCGTTGCGTGCAACGAATCCGGCTACCTGAGTTCGATTCCCGCTCACGGCCACCAACCCCAGTAATGATTATCTGAACCGTTCCTGGGCTTCCCTGAACCGGCCCTGGGCTTCCCTGAGGTCGTCACTTGGGAGACAAAGGCGGCCCGGCATGGTGCTGGCCATCCAACTCCCTCGTGTAACCCTGCCGGCCTTCATCGGTGCTCGCTTACAGCACTTGTTGTTACAAAAATACACGAAGGCTTTACGGGGGAACTTTGTCTAGTGCATCTGGCCTTTGGTTGCATGATTGTTGCATCGAAAGTGGTGTAATCTAGACTGACCTTAACGAGTATGTATATTATAAATTGTTATCGTGTTCGTGTGCGTGTGCGCGCGCGCGGTGGTGTAGCGGTTAGCGCGCTACGCTACGAACCTTGCCACCAGAGTTCGATTCCCGCTCACGGCCGACACCAGTGACGATTATCTGAACTGGTCCTGGACCTCCCCGAGGTCAAATTAGTACCTGGTGCGGTGTGTAAACATCGCCACTGGTGAGACAAAGGCGGTCGGGTGTGGTTCTGGCCACTCACCCCCCGTTCGCCGTGACCGCCTTAAGAGGTGTTCCCTAACAGCACTTGCCCCAACAGTCTGTTAAGACTATACGGGGGATCGTTGTCTTTGTACATTATTTGGGCAAGCGCATAAAACTATTTTTTTTACTACGAATTTGAAAGCAAATTACACACGCGTGACTTTATTTTATATATTTAAAACACACGTAACCGGGAAGTGAACGCACTTGGTACATACAGTGCAGTGTGTTCTCACCACACAACTTTTATCTTGTGCGCAGAGAGAATACGCGTGGTTGGTCTCCGCTGAACACCCTCGTATGAAATCTCCCACGTTGTGTATTACCTCGTCTGTAGCGTAATGTGTATACAAGGTCAATGGTCAATCTGTCTACAGATAAAAAAAATAGCCATTACACGATACATCTTGCGTATTATTATAGCATATAGTCAGATTAGGGCAGTGTTATTAACAGCTGTGTCGAGTTATATAGTCATTTGTGCTTACGTACTGCTGCTCAACGTCGTATCACACTTTTCGATGCGCTCGCGCGTGTTTGCGTGCGATTAATTTGCGTTAATTCCATCGGTACGGTTTACGCACAGATCGGAGCGTTCGATACAACTCTCGTTGACGATATTAGCTACAAGCGAACGCGAATAGCCGAGAAGGTAGTCGGGACTTAATTGCCTTGTTAATGCTTTAGCGCACACTCGGCATGCGCGAATGGAATTCGCGATATACAATGCCGCACTTCTCAAACCGCGTCGAGATTTTAGCCCCTTCAAATATTGTAACGCAGACGTTTCTTGTCGTGTGTTTGTTTTGTTTGCTTGTGTCTCTACACCACACAGTCATCACCTATGTAGACGAGAATCCTAAACGATTGCTTATTAAACGCATTCTTTGGTGACGCTACTGCTGCTTCTGCTGCGTTGACAATGGTGTAAAAGCACAAGTAAAATAATAACAACAACGCTATAACCTAACGCACGTGTCAATAAATAGTATATGGCCTTACAAGGATACACGTATATAATAGTCAGGTGTTATGAACAAAGGCTATTTCCCGAAACGTCGCCCATGAAACGCTGTCTGTGGACCTTGACACTTCGCGATTTGGATTACGTCCGATCTTCCGTGCCAGCGTTTTAGTTCCCCTACGCCAAAGTCAACGTACGGCGAGAATCTGTTGCCGGTCGCTCTTCCTGTGCCACACAAATAATGCACAGAGAGAGAGAGTTCGTTTGTAACAGAGGCGATCTCTGCTGCGGAATTAATGTGTGTTTACATATACTGTACGTGTGTGTGTGTGGGGAGTGGTAGTGTAGTGAACCCGGCGAGCCGAGTTCGATTCCCGCTCACGGCCAACACCAGTGACGACTAAGTCGACTCAGCATCAAATGAGTACCTGGTGCGGTGTGTAAACATCGCCGCTGGGGAGATAAAGGCGGTCGGGCGTGGTGCTGGCCACCCACCCCCTCGTACATCGTTCCGGTCTTCATAGGTGCTCGCTAACAGCACTTGCCTCAACAGTCTGTTAAGGCTATAAGGGGGATCTGTGTCTTTTTTATCTGGTATTCATTAGACAAAGATATTTCTTCGTGTTTGGTGTTATCTACTCGACTTTGTAGCCCCAGTTGTCAGTCCACTGTTGGATAAAGGCCTCCGCCGCGCCGCGTCGGACATCGTGTGGATCGTTTGACCATATTTCACCACCCGGCTGGCCAGTGCGGGTTAATGAAGGGTGACGGGAACGGGGGGAGCAATGGGCGGGGGGAGGGGGCAGGACCGGTTCAGATATCACTCGATACTGATGTTAGCCGTGACCGGGAATCGAACCCCAGTTTGCCGAGTTTCAAGGCGTTGACGTGCGCTGTCCACTGCGCTACCGCTTTCCTCATTATCTCACGTTCATCAGTGGGTACGTATTTACATATATACTTAAAAACAGACAACGACCCTCCTCATAGCCTGAACAGACTGTTGGGCCTGTAGTGGCAAGTGCTGCTAGCGAGTAACACCTATGAAGGCCGGAACGGCACGAGGGGGTGGGTTGACAGCACCACGCCCGGCCGCCTTTGTCTCCCCAGTGGCGATGTTTACACACCGCACCAGTTACTCGTTTGAGCCTGAGTCGACCTAGGGAAGGGGTTGGGACCGGATAAGATAAATCGTCACCGGTGTTGGCCATGAGCAGGAATCGAACTCGGGTCGCCGGGTTCGTAGCGCAGCGTGCTAAATGTTGCACTACCGCTCCGCACAACACACACACACATATATAAACACACACACACATAGGAATCACTATTGTCCACATAATACACACAAAGAGCACTTAACACCCCCTTTAAACGACAATACAAGCGCCCAGGGCACAAAAGACGTTAAGGCAAATAATGCTTGGCCTTTTGAGAAATGGGATGACCCTCAGACACACGTGTGGCGGGCAGGCGTGTGAACAGCCATTTAAGGGCTTTCATAATAATGTAAATAAATGCAGTCACTCAGACTGAATGTGAAATACGCGGCGCACACACACACCTCCGCCGCCGCATCCAGACACCCCCTTTCCTCCTCTCGGAAAGAATACGCATAGTGGTATACTAATCGTAATAACGATAGCAGTATTATTTAAAACGCCTCGCGACATTGTGCAGACTCGCTACCTCGGGGGCAATACATCTGTAGCTTCTGACCCATCCAGACACGCAGACATGCGGACTGCTTGCAGAGGCGATTTTTATTTAATTCACTATTTTTTTTTTGCCAGTAAGCATAGCGCCGGCGAAATTGATCCGCGCTCTGGGCGATAGGACAAGAGCGTACACGTCGTCTCGCTCTCTCTCTCTCTCTCTGTGTATGCACGTGAGCGAATATTTATTGTATATATTTAACTAAAGGACGCCTTTGCTTTCGGCTAATATATGGCGAACTTTAATAATAATTAAATTGTAACCAGGTAAGGCCCACTGGGTTTTTTTTTCAGACGCGACCTGGCCATCACAAATGACAGCTCAACGAGATGACGTATCGTGAGCACACGTGTAGCAGGCACAATAGTCTAAACGCATATTTCTAAACGTGAAGGGGGGAAACGAAAATCGGAGGACCCGGAGAAAAATGCACGCGATCACGGGGAGCACACGCAAACTCTAAATATACACGTGTCAGCGTCGTGATCGAACCCATGACCTCCTGTATACCAGACGAGGTCGTTAACATCCCACACCACAGTGGTGCCCCTTACATTCTGTCTCTCCACGTATCGATACGGGGATTTTTTTTGGGGGGGGGGCTTCGAGTCCGCCCGCTTGCCTATTGCTATTGGCATTCCAGGCCGAATATTACTCAGCGGCGTCTATTTAAGCCAATCAAACCCTGGACCAGATTCGTTTTTTTCATTCTTTCAGCAGGCAGTCTCAATCTGCATCGTGTTAAACAAATACTGCTGGATTTTCCAGCTATCATTGGCGAGCGCGCCCCGTGTATAATGTGGGAGCCCTCCCGTGTCTTTAGCTACCGTCGACCGGACGTTAAAGGCTCCGGGTTCGTTCACGAACAACAGTTCTCTATACAGCGTGGGTCAATCAATTGCACCGCGGTATATACTGAAAGAGTGCGGGCGATGGATTTACACGGAAAGTATTCAGCCAATTAGTACTCATCCGAAAACGAATGAAAACACACACACACACGCGATCATATCTGTTCATTCGCTCGGACGTCGTCGAGCAGATGAGACGACTCGAATTATTTTCGATTGCAACCAAATTCGCACATTCTATAGAATGTAGTACGTGTGTGTGTGTGCGTGCGTGTGTACGTAGTCCGTGTCCGCGGCTGTCGGGGAGAGTGCAGTTTGCGAGCTCCTGTTAAGGGAAGCGCAGCACACGTTGTGAGGCGGGGGTGGGGTGCGTGGGGTGGGGGGGGGGTCAGCGTACCATCCCTGACCACCTTTGTCTCCCCGATAACTGATGTTTACGCACCCGCGGGGGTACTCCTT